CTAGCTCGTCTTGCATTGTCAGCGTGAACCTGCAAAAACACAATTGTATCTCAGCCTTGAGGGAAGTCCTTATGTGTTTGGCATGTTATTCAGATTGATCTCATGAATTATTTCATTAATTCGCATAAACGTTTTACTATATTGGAAAACATTATCAGTGTCTCTAATAAGGAACAGACGGCTAACTTCATCTGGAATCATTTTTATCAATCTAGTTAGTCAACTGATTGCCATTACTCCCCTTCATCGCCCACACTGGTGCATATCAGCCTTTCATCTCAATGCTATAGGACAAAAATCCTCCCACACTGCCTCCTAATGCTTTTGAAGACTTAGGCACCGGGAGCCTATAGCAAAAAGAAACAAATTAGTTTGTGAATTCCAGACTTGTTCATGCAGGATGAATATCAGCTTATTGCAGCGTCACCAGTCCTTAATGAGGTTACTTGAAAGTTTGTGCCTTCTCACATATTTCTTGGATTACCTGTGTTTGGAAGTATATGTATGTATTGTGTCAGCCTCTTGCGTCAGTCAGTGTGTGTCGTAGTAATATGAAGGGCAGCTGCGGGTCAGCGTGTTGCAGGGAAGCAGATTAAATGTCTTCTTGACCCTCTTCCTTTCATCTCCTGCAGCATTTCCTCCACCACTCGTCCTCTGGACTTATCTTTCTCCTCTAACTCTCTGTATTTCCTGTCTCCTGTCTGTTTGTCGAGTTTTTTTCCTCCTCTCGCCCCCACCCTTCCAGTCGTAAGTTTTCCCTGCCACCCCGTTTCATCAATCTCGCCGCTCTCGTCCCTTTGTCCTCCTTCTCCGATCGCATTGCCTTCCTCTCTGCGGCTCTTCCCCTCTCTCTTTTCTTATCACAATGACACTTAGATTATACAAGTTGTGTGTGTGACTCCCACTTTTTTCCCCTTCGCCATATCTAATCCTCTGTGGCACGCTGTCAGCCATAAGGAATGGGGAGAAATTCACGGCTCCGAAGCGAAGCGACGTGGGATTTTTGAGTTTGTGTCGTAAAATTTCGCTCCCCGCCATTACACACTGGGATGGGAGATGGGGGCTGAGGGTGGGCGACACAGGGGTAGCTGACAGGTTGTCAGGGGAACCAAATTAGCCCATGCGCTAAGATTTTCAGGTTCTTGCCACTGATGTCAAAATGATGCAGAGGAAAGAGGAAATAATAATGATTTATAATAATTACTATATTTAGATGATAAATTACACACAGGGCAAATTTAAACACACATGCACACACACACACAATGTCAAAAACATTGAGTTCAAATATTAGGAATTTATAAAGTTAGATTTTCTCTTGTTTCTGCAACTTTAACAGACAGTTTGGTTATTTTAAGGTGGTGTTTCATAACGTCATCAGAAATAGTTTCCTTACCTGGTGTAGTCAGACATCTTATAGAAGAGAGGTTGGTAGAAGACGTTATGAGAAGATAACATCTGGTCAGACGGATGCCTTCTTTTTGTGGTTAATTTGTGCAAATTTTAGCATTTGGAACTGATGCGTTGCTTTTTAGAACAAGGTATTTGATACAATTAAGACGTGAACTTATTCAAATTCCAGAGCTAAATGAATGGTCTTCTTCTGAAAATCATCATGAATTCTTTACAGGTAACACATTCTGGTAACTCCTAAAAATCGCTGTCTTTAAAAGAACAACAAACCAACGTTGCTACATTTCGTCAGATGTGACTAAGCATAGACAGTCTCAAAACCTGTGCGCTAAACATACAAAACCTGCTTTTTTTTTTTCTTCCTTTTGCCGTAATGTAATGAAATTAGTGGCGGAACTTGATTCAAATTTGAAATGTAATTAATTAATAGTAGTTAATCATATTTTAATCTAAAACTACCTTCAGACTAAAAATTTAAAAAAGCAAAATTTTCTATCCAAAACCTGTTTCTGCTTCCAAAAATAAGTATTGTTTTGAATCTCTTATTTACATCATTCAACCATCAGATTGGTGCGGTGTGTTTTTCTACCCATTCATCTTTCCAGTGTTTCGGAAAAGCATTCATGGAGTTTTTTTTTGAACAAATATGTCTTCAGAAATGTGGACTGTGGATACTGACATTAGCGTCGGGAACGTTAGCGTTGCTAAACTTTTTAGCATTGAGATGCTATTTTAGGCTTGAAAATCTTCACTGATTGGCTAACTTCTTTTAGCACAGCTTAAACACAACAGTCCTCCCATCAGATTGTTTTTTTTTTTTTTTTGAAGCAAAAATTAACCAAGAGAAGTGCCATTGTCTTCCGTCGCTGTTATTTGGATGTTGCTTGTGCGTCGGATTTACGGGTGTACTGGAAACGCACAAAATACAAAAATTCCGCAGGGAACCTTTATAATTAAGGCATTAAAACTGATTTAATTAATCAAATTAGTATGTTAAAGTTCCGACCCTGAATACAACTTTACACTTCACCAAAAGCTTCAAGTTTTCTTGCTTTCATCTGTTTTCTTTTAGGCAGTTTCAAGAATATATTCCACTTAATTAACTTTATCTTCTTGATAAATATGTTGGCTCTTCCAAATGTTTAAATTTACATTTCAGAATATTGGATCGCCTCCTTGTTTTCTCCTCTAGGTCTCTCAAAAAGCCCTTCCTAGTAACCAGCCAACCGTAACCAACATCATCAAATTCCACTTAAAATGCTGCAGACAACATTGAGTAGATACGTGTTCCCTCGGCATTGAGGAAGATCTGAGCCGTTAATTTTCGTCATGTTTCTCCCGCTGTCCCACACCATGTAGACCACAGCTTATATTAAAAGGATTAGGCAGAAACCAATAATGCATACACGTATTTAAAAAAAAAGAAAAGAAAAGAAAACCCATCAAAGCCGCTGTTTGTTAGCGGTGTCTAATTTGATTTTAATGGGAAGTAAATGTTGCCTTCATGATGTAAACAGCAGCTGAGATTACCAGAGTTGTTTGTTTGCTTCCAATGAAACATTTATTGTCTTTTTGGACTCGATTTGCTCGGACGGTTTGGGCCTTTGCACCATTTTCTGTTTATTGTGAGCGTAGGGGGCGCTGTTGCATTTTAACACTTTGCTATGCCTACACCAAAAACGTAACGGTTTTTGGAGGGCGGATGAACAAATGCAACAAGAAAAATAATTGAAAAGCAGAGGAAAGAATAAAAAGTACAATCTGACCAGTAATAGTATGACTTAAAGGAATATAGACAGTCACAGAATATAATAGGTCTTATCAGATACTGTGACCAAAATATAACTTCTAGAAACAATATTAAATTCTTGAGTAGTAGTGTTTAGTATTTTGCTTTTCATGCTTCGGATTTTGCATTTTGCATCCTGAACCCGTTCCAAAGCTTACGTTTCTGGCTAAGTGTCGTGTTAAAATGCAACAGCGCCCCCTACGGTCACAATATATGGTGGTGAACATGGTGTAACACCGGTCACGGTGGTGGTCATCTAATATAATTCAACACCGCTTGGACAAACAGGTGTCCACCACGTCCTGCGGACAGCGGCATCAGGAGAATCCTGCATCCCCCTCGTGTCCCGATAATGGCTTTCGATCGCCCCCTGCCAACCCGAGTACCTTCTCTCTCTCTCTCCCTCTCGCTCTTTATCTCAAGGCCCAGGTCCGGCCTCCGTATCGCCGCTCCTCTCCTGGCAGACAGGAGGCACAATAGAAAACGGCAGCAGGTGCAGGATCTTGAGGACAGTCCCTATAGACGGGTTATTTGTCTGATTAGCCGCCTCTCCTCCCTATGGGTTCACCGCAGGCCCGTGTGGAACACGTCTCCGTGTGATTAGCAGCAGAGATGATAAGGAGACGATAACACGGCTTATTTCTGGTAACTTTCCTCGATTCCAGAATCCAGATCTTCACGGTTGTGATAGCTGGTGCAGAGGGGAGGAGGATGACTGGAAATCACAACAGATCCCCCGCCCCCTCCATTGTACGAAGCAGAGCTGCAGTGAGCTGAAGAGCTGCAGTTGTTAGCTGCTTTCATGTCAACGAACTTAATTGATCCGTTCCATCAAGAAAACAGATAAAATCATCTCATACTTTTAATCATTTTCTGCCCTTCTTCTGCTTATACTCGCTTTGCATCTAAAGTTAACTGGGTTATTGTTCACGGTTTGTTACAGAGTTGAGGTTATTTCCGATTTAGGTGATAAAACAGAAGCAGTTTTTCCATCAACTTTTTCTTAATTCACATCTTGAAGTATTGCTTTGGAAATGGTTAACAGAAACAGCAACAGTTTATATATTCTGCCGTAGAGTTACATTTCCATTATAAAAGTGTACAAAATGTCGATATGCCGCTAATGTAATAAAATAAAATAATATATTGCAGTTGTGGCGTTTAAATGAAATAACAAATGCCAAAATTACACCCGGATAAATACTTTTGTTCAAGCTATCATCATTCAAAATCATGCTGCGCCGTCATCCTCCTCCCACTTGTTCTTTATTGTTTTAGCCAGTAGTAACATCGACTTGCAAATCACTTTTGTGATGCAAAAAAAGTGTTTTAATCAAGGTTCTGCAAAATGCACTAATTTAAATTCATCTGAAAAATCACCTCATCCTGTCACAAAAAAAATTTTGCTTAGAAATTAACGTATTTCTGTTAAGCACATTTAGGTATGTAATTCCAATTTGCAAAATTTGAAGGTGAACGGAAACGCAATTACACTCGAAGTGGTTTTTATTTTTTCCGAAGAAGAGTTAATGCATAAAGGGGAGATGAAAACACACTTGCCGAATATGTTCAGACATAATGAACATTTTAGTGTTTATTACAGCAGTCATTTGTTTGGCAGCATGCTTTTGCATAGCATTCATGTCCATCCAGTTGTCATAAGAATTTTTCCGTGTTTCTTGATTTGTTTCCCTCCAAATCAAGAAACAGAAAAATTCTCATGACAATTGAATGGAAACCTGCTGTAGCTACCAACAGAACATCCTGTTCTTAACTGAGGTGTCCATGTTTGTCGCAGGAGTTTTTTGAGAATCCGGCGTTCAGGCCCGACGGTCTGAAGCTCTACCCGACGCTGGTGATCCGAGGCACGGGTCTGTACGAGCTGTGGAAGACGGGCCGCTACAAGAGCTACACGCCCAGCGCCCTGGTGGACCTGGTGGCCCGCATTCTGGCCCTGGTGCCACCCTGGACCCGTGTGTACCGTGTCCAGAGGTGAGGGAACTGGAAGGTCGGAGCAAACGGACTCACACATATGTGACTTTGAAGTCATGTTATCAATAAACCCCGAAGCCCACCTGGATGTAATCTATCGAAAAAGAAACATAACTGGCAGGTCAGGGAGAAAGTTTAGAGTCACAATTGCAAATGTCTCAAAATGTTTTAATTTGTATCGTCCTCCTACAAGGTTTGTACAAGTTTCACCAAATCAAATTGAAGGCTTTTTAATAGCAGTACAAATGAAATTTAAGACCCGTATCATGATAGAAATGTACAAATGTTGATAAGTTTGCACTTACCTATGATGGACGCAAAACAGCTAGCTAACCAGCCTGGGTATATCGGCAGCGAGAAAGTAAATAACACAGATCAGATTGAACAGTCTTGTGAAGGCAAAATTCAAGACCTGTGATTAACCTATTGGAGGCCAGCTTCCTTTTCTTAAAAGAAATTTGTTTAAGACATTTTAAGCACTTACTTCAATTTAAGACAACCTAATCAATAAATTTCAGTGCACCATAACTTTTTCTGTTGCCCATTAGACTCTAGAGAATCTTCCAATAACAGTTGTGTGCTTTAAATATTTTATCAATGAAACCAAAGCAATTTTTCATCTGTCTAGTCCAAATTATATCAATGTGAAAAGATGTTCAGTATTTAATTTTAAAATGTGTACTTTCCAAATACTTTAAGGTTGGTGGTTAAAGCTCTAGCTTAGTACGGCACTGAAACAGTAACAGATGTGGTTTCTGCTCTGCCCCATCAGGGACATCCCCATGCCACTGGTGAGCTCCGGCGTGGAGCACGGCAACCTGCGGGAGCTGGCTCTGGCTCGGATGAAGGACATGGGCACTGAGGTGAGACAGGAAGGAGCCTTAAAGATCAAGATCGCGCGTCGGCTTACTTTTGAGCTGACGGGTCTTTCCAGCCCGGCGACGAACCATTTAATGGGGCGGGCAGCGGCCACCGGCAGATAGCAGGACTCACTTTCATTCATGGCAGGGCGAGATGATAGATCCAGAAACCCTCTCGGGTACAGCTGAGCGCAGGAGGACTCCCCTCCTTCCATCCCTTCTTCATGTCTAAGTGGGAAGTAGATTACAGCTTCGGTGAAGGGAGGCAAGAAACCCCTCAGCTTTCATCAGACACGCTCAGTGAAATCCACCCTTAGATAAAAGCCACGAGGCTGGGAACGCTTCTGTTGAAAACAAGAAAAGTTTAAAAAATATTACTGAAACTACAAGTTCTCTGCTTTCTTCACTTTGTACTTCAACGTCAATCCCCTACTTGTCTTTTTGCTGCCCAGACTTCATTTGAATACAGAGTGGCAGGAAGCTGCGTATCTCCACAAACCTGTTGATGTGGAGTGAAAATTGTCCCCGAGTCCGACCAAGTTTCCGTCGGCCTCTTTCCTTACGTTTTAGCGGTTTCTGCCTTGCTTCGGGGCTTTTATGTAAGCGTATCTGCTGCCATCCAGGCAGCGAGGAAAGTTCTCCTCTCAGACTTAAAAATAAACCTACAAGGCTTCTGCTTCCCTGTGAAGACTAGGCTCTGTAGAAAGTGACCATGAATCAAGACGCCTTTAATGTTATGGCGTGTAAGATTACTGATCTGGACGGACATGTAGGGTTGTCATGACAACAGCAAACATTGATGGGCACCTGTTAGTTTTGACCCATAATACTTTTTTATAAACACAGCAAGGGCCATAAGCCTGTAACCTCAGACTGAGATACAAAAGTTTTGGTTTTAATGACTAATTCTGTAAAAAAAATTAGCTTGCCATTAGCACATTAACAGAAATGTGCTTTCTCAGGGTGATCAAGGACAGCATAATGATGTATTTGAAAGGAAAACCAAATTAACAAACCAAAACAATCCATTTTATTGCCCGGATATGTGATGATCTTTTCAGTGCCGAGACGTACGGACCCGAGAAGTTGGCATTCAGGAAATCCACCACAAAGTCAGGCCGTACCAGGTAAACCTCCCACAGACCGAAAACATTAATCCAAACATCAGGACCAGCCGTTTCCTCACCGCGCTCTGAGTGCAGGTGGAGCTGATCAGGAGGGACTACGTGGCCAACGGCGGCTGGGAGACCTTCCTGTCCTACGAGGACCCGGAGCAGGACATCCTGATCGGTCTCCTGCGCCTGCGCCGCTGCTCGTCCCAGTCCTTCCGACCCGAGCTGAAAGGAGGCGTGTCCATCGTCCGCGAGCTGCACGTCTACGGCAGCGTGGTCCCAGTGAGCAGCCGCGACCCCAGCAAGTTCCAGCACCAGGTGAAAGAGTTGCATCACGTCCTCGGCTCTCCGCGGAGCCCCTCTGCAAAGCCAATTAGAAAGACGAGCCTCCTTGTGGTGTTTTAATGGTCCTGCAGGGCTTCGGCATGATGCTGATGGAGGAGGCTGAGAGAATCGCCAGAGGGGAACACGGCTCGCACAAACTGGCTGTCATCTCAGGTAACAAGCTGAACGTTTACGAGCTCACATGCAGTCAGAATCGCATGAATGTCGTACTCATTTTGGATTTATAGTGATTGAGGCTTTTCATTTTTCATACCTGAAACAAAATCTTTGTAACAATGAGAAGTGGCAGCACGAAATGTATTCATATAGAGGGTTACATATCTCTATTTTATGCATAAATTGTTGAGATTGTGATTGTCTGTATATTCACTAACTGTGAATATATATATGAATATATTAAAAAAATAAAATAAAATCTTGGGTCTTGTCTGGTGTGGTAGATCTGGGCCTCTATTGCTCTGGTGTTCATATATATATATATATATATATATATATATATATATATATATATATATATATATATATATATATATATACACTAACTCACCATTCTAACAGATGTTCTGGGTTTGAAAAAAAAAACTTGGCCTATAAATAAGGTAAACAAAAAGTTCTATTAGCAATCATCAGTTGACAAATTAAATACATAGTTACTTGTAACATTTCAAAATTCCACTCAGACATCCAGTTAATAATCAAGTTTTACATTGATCACAAATTAGCATGTTCAGTTATTCACCAGCCATATTATGAACATCAAGTCATTTATTAAAAATATATTCAATACTCTGTTTGGATAAAGCAAAAATAAACCCAGGCAAAAGCATTAGCATTTCTAAAGATGTCAAAATAAACCAAAAAATGACTAATTGTGTCGACGGTAGTTTAACTAGATTGCTCAGGTCCCTGAAGACATGAACCAAATATAATCAGTCATCCATTTCACAATGGAACGCCAGTCACAATATACACTGGCTCAAAAATAACTAGACACCATAGTGGAGTTCTGTTCTTGTCAGGCTGAAGTGGTAAAATATGCAGTGGTAAAATAGGCGACTCAAAATAAGTTTTGAGTCGCCATTATCTGAAAGCAGAAGACGGCAGCTAAAACTAACGACCCTCCACAAAATAATCCAAACAACCCGAATGTCAAGCAGCTCTGCTGAATTTGGTAACTGTAAAGTTTCCATTGAGTTTTGGGATGCTAAAAGCTGATGGGGGGCGCTGTTATAACCCCCCCCCCATCCAGCCACTGGGGGTTATAACAGCGCCCCCCAGTGGCTGGATGAATGAACGGGTTGGTGAAGTTGACATAATGTCCCCAGTTATCCTGGTTATTTTTTTGTTTTGTTTTGTCTTTCGCTGTGAGAACATCACCTTCCTTTCACCGTCTTCTTCTGCAGGTGTAGGAACGAGAAACTACTACAGGAAGATGGGCTACGAGCTGGAGGGGCCGTACATGGTGAAGCAGCTCTACGGTGCACAACTGGACTGACCGGATGTTTTCCCTTATCTGGATGGTGCAGACAGAACCACAGACGCATACAAATTATTATGATTTTTCTTTTGTTTTTTTCGAATCAGAACAATAGTCCTCGGAAACAATTCCTGCCATGTTTGCAGAGAAACTTCCAGCAGCACAGAAAGGAGATAATGCCGAGGTTGTTTCCACAGGCCATTCATCTGCCATTATCTGAAGCTGCTGCATTCGCTCTGCTTTATTTAGATAAGGAGACCTGTGAGTCGACACGGGGGGGGAGAAAGTACAGCCGCTTGGGGGGTGGAGAGGACGAAGCCAGCCTTGTTCGGTTGGAGACTCTTCACTCCAGATGGCGGCGCTGAACACCTGGCGTTTCAACGTTTGACGACCCTGACATGCCTTTAATGTAAAACAACAAACCTACAGAGGGGAGTTCTGATTTCTGTTATGTGTTTGTCTGGGATTCGTGTCACGGTTCAAGTTAATCCTGTTTCTGTTGCAACCGTGTGAAAGGGAAATGGACGGCTGCCGGGTGACGGCTGGGAAATCCTCGCCGGTCAGCGGTTGTGTAATTGAACGATTTCAAATTATGGGACAGAAAATAAGTCTCAGCGTTACATAAATTGCTTTTTAAAGCCCTCTCCATAATCCTGTTTGTTTTTGTGCTTTGTTTCATCATGCATTCTGGAAACATCCCTTAAGGAATAAAGTCTTTTACAGGTAAACTTGACTAAAATATCTTAAATTCTTTTAAAAGTATAATTGGCCTTAAATACTTTATTCACATATCTTAAATGTTCTTGTGGCAGACCTATTTAATCTACAATATTCTATATAGTCAAAACCTTTCTGTCAGGTAAAAGTTTTGAGTCGCATGCAGATGTGGCTACCAGTAACTGCTAATATGCTCTTGCTACAAAGCAAGGGTACAAACCTGGCTAGCTTTAAAATTTATTGTCAGTAGTCTGGAAGACTATGACCCCTATGAGGTCAGATGCATTCTGTCCCAAAAAACGTGGCACTATGTGGTTAAGTCTGTAAAGAGCGTCGCTAAATATGTCATTTTCTTTATTTTTCTGTCATGACAGAAAAATAAACATTCATAATGTTCTTAAGAATGTCTTAAAAAGTCTTACATTTGAGTCGGTGAAAACTGCAGAAACCCTGTTATGTATGTTCCTATAATGTTGCAGGTGCCCGGCCCCCTTCCGGAGACCCCTGTCGATGGCCCTATGTCGTCCTATTGGTTGAAACAATAGCAGTAGCTCAGAGAACAGGAATGATTATGCAGAAAAGTGAAATCCTTCCTAACTGTTTGGCTCAGTTAGCAGGGGATGCATATTTTGGCACAGCAAATTATGAGCTGCCAATATTTGCATTCCCTGTTTTTATATTTTTACATATTTTGGTAGTTTTGCAAATTATTATTTTTTAAAAAAAGGACAATATATCATATTAGACCAATATAAGTCTATTAGTTGTTCCCGAGATCTTAATGGTTGTCTTACGGAATCGGATAGTATTTTGGCAGAGATTTGTAGTTCTTTAATCTTATCGCCTTGTTTACTTCCTGGTTCGGGAAAGGAGTCCTAAAAAGCCACGCCCACAGAAACATCTGTCTCTCCCAGATGCTGCCACCAGTTAATCCATAACACCGGGACCGCGCTCTTACTGCCGCTGTCAGTGTTGCAGTCCCGACGCAGTGAGGAACCGCCCGCATTCGGACTTCCTCTCCTCTCCCCTCCGCTAACAGCTGTGAAGTCTGAAAGGCCTCCCCGCTCCGGCTCTGCGCGGAGCAAACTCTGCCTGTTTTGGTCAGAGTTTGCTTTAATCGTCAATGCAACGGGAGCACAAATGTGCTCCACTCTGCATTCATGTCGGTGTGGCTCCTAAAACTCCGCTGAGCTGAAGGTTACAGGATTTAACTGCAGAGATTGCAGCGGTATAAGGAGGAAAAGCATCCGGCTCTATTTGCACTGAATAGATTCCCCTTTAATATTAGCAGCACGCTGCTCACTGCAGATAGATTCTATCTATGTAATTGTTTCTCCAGCCTGGTTGGGTCCAGTTTGGAGCTCACATTCTGCTGCTGTGAAATTCTGTTGTTGTTTAGTGCGGCTATCAGAAACCTCCAGTGGACTCAGTTATGCAACCAGAAAAATATCTCCCTGAGTCAACAGCAGCATTGCTTTAAAATTAGATTACAATTTGTAAACTTCTTCCATCTTTAATCTCCACCTGTACCGGATAACGCTCAGGAAAATCTGCAGTAGTTACGCTCTGATCCAATGGGACGTCACAGGAAAGGTGGCTGGAGGGAAAAAAGTAGCTGCTTTTTTCACAAACCATTAAGGGGAGACAGGAAATATGTGAAATCGTGCGCTCTGGTCGGAACGTAACCTTTTGAACTGTATAGAAAACACTGCTGGGTGGAAACCAACACCCCACATATAGTATATTTACATATAGTAGTGGCACCGTCATGCTGCGGGTGCAGCAGGAGGGTTTGGGTTGGAGTTTGTGTGGTGCTTGTCCAGCCAACTTCACATCTTAAAGTTGCAGTATGTCACTTTTACAGTCTATGCTTTTTAGATATTTACTAACCGACCACTATGTCAAGACAGCTTGAGACAGATAATATATTGATAAAAAAGGTCCTCTGCTGCCTGCATGTGGTCTTAGTGCAATCTGCAGAAACACACCGTCCCCGGCCAGAAACAACCAATCAGAGCTAGGAGCAGGGTCTTTATGATGCCAATCATTCTTGTATATGTGCTGCTCACATCTTCATCCTTACTCTATGCTAACCCTACGGCTAGTTCTCCACAGCGGAACATGTCGTCGATGCTAAGGCTAGTTAGCATGGCCTCAGATTATTGTAGTTTCTCCTTCATTAGCACATTGAGCAGCGAGTAGAAGAACTTGTCCTGACTGATTGTTTCTGTCTTAACAAATATGTAAAAATATCTTAAGATGGCATAATGCAGCTTTAACCCAACAGAGAATCTGTGGGAAAGATGCAAAAGTTGATCCATCCAACCGGACTCGACTGATGGACTGGAGTTGAGACCGACGGCGACAGGCCTGCAGCTCCGACTGCTGTTAAAGATGGCCGCTCAAAATATGGATGGAGGGAAATACAAACGCAGCGTACACGTTTCCACATGAAGAAATGAAAACCATTTATCATTTTCCACTCTGCGTTCAAGTCAGAGCCGATTCCTCCTGGTCCCATTTGTCCTCGTCACAAAAACTGCCACAATTCATGAGTCTGTAACTACGTCAAATTACCGCGAACATGAATAATTTACTAAACAATTATTTCACTGTTTTAATGAGATGTTAATGCTCCCTTGCTGCAGTGCATCAGGAATAACTTTCCCTGTCAAAGTCAAGAGGGCGGGGCTTAATTTTGCTCTTCAACAATATTGGGTAAAAGTAAGAGCTGCTCTGGACGTCAGCCAATCAGATCTTTAGCATCTACGTTATGAGTGAAAGTGTTTTAATAGTGACCGCAGCAGTAAAAACATGGAATAATTCAGTGACTAACGTCAATCATTTAAGATTTTCACAAATTTGACTTTATACATTGAAAAGATTAAATAAACATGAATGACTATTATGTGGTTAAAACATGTGTAAGATACTGACCGGTCATAAAGTCTCAACAGAAACCCGCTTAAAGAAAAACAGTAAGGAGATAAAACTTTGCTGAAAGTTTCTTCACCGGGGGAAAGTTTCAACATTGGGCGAGTTTCTCGCCGTAATCTCTCTCGCTGCCCACACTGGCCAGCTGTGAATTGATGCCTCCCTAATGCAATTTCAATTTTGAGTAATGGGGCATAAGAGCCTTTGGCAAGTACAGATTAGTCAAATTAAGTTGGCGCGTCCTACAGTCGTTCTTTCTAGCTCGGCGTTCCCCACTAATGGAATCCCTCTGTGCAGATCAGTGAAGATTTGAGAACATTTTCTGTTTATTCATTTATTTTAACGGTTTGAGGAGTTGGTAATGCTGGAATGTTGAGCTTTAAAAAAAAAAAAACCGTAAATAATACCAGCAGAGATAATACAATGTTATTTTTTATTTAAATTACATTTCATTAAAAAACACAAGTCATTTCAGGCTTTTGAAGAAAGAAAGTAAAGGTTTACATTGAAGGACTGAGACTGATGACCCGTAATAAGCGCTGTGGGTGTCAGGCCGATCGGATCAGGACCAATCCTAAACCCGGGTTTTAATTTCCTGTTTGCAGCAGGACAGTTTTATCAGTGACATCACGGAGCCTCGTGCTACTTGCTCTTTGACTTTTTAATCACATACACAATAATGCTCACACTGTACTAGAAGGAGACGGTTTTTAAAAATCCTTATCACACAAACAAGGTAAAAACATTCAAGCAATATTTTAAAAGGCAAAACGCTTCAACATGTATCTGGCCATTTACTCTGAAAACACCTTAAAATTATTATTTTTGTATTAAATAGGGGCGCCACCAGTCAGGCCTTGGAGTAAGACAATTGAACTTTGTATAACAAAACAAAAATCATCAAGAGCTTCAATTTTTTTAATTTATTTATTTTTATTAAAATTACTTCAAATCTCTTAAGACAGCAGAAATGGTTCAGAATGTGATGCCTGTTTTTTTTTTTTTAAATATGGGAGAAAAAGTTACAAAATGTAAGCATTTCGCCTGCCTACAGAAGACCATCAGTGCCACAATCTGGTATATTTTTAAGTATATTATATGTGACTATTTAAATTACATGGTGACTAAGTTAATCAGATGAATTATCTTAAATATGTCAAACTTATTTTGATCTTTTTTTTTTAAATGAAGCTACCAACTGATTGTTCTGCAGTTCAGCTGCTGAGCTGATGGGCGACATCAGAGCGATGGGCGACATCAGAGCGATGGGCGACATCAGAGCGATGGGCGACATCAGAGCGATGGGCGACATCAGAGCGATGGGCGACATCGCTCTGAAACCGAGTCGTCCAGCAACAGGCAAACTGCTGCAGGGACGTAGTCTAGTTATTAATGACTCACTTTGGTTTTTAGTGCAGGTTTCATAGTAACAGTAAGTTTAGGTAAATCAGACATCACCACCCAGGAATACTTTAGAGGTTAAACGATTCAGAATCTGCTTCAAAGTAGGTCTGAATTGTTTTATTCTAAATTGTAGCACAAATATGTATTTATTTAATTACAAATTTATTCATAGTAGTGTTGCACTTCTGGTTCAACAGAGGCACTGAGGGAGGAAAGTTGTTTGGTTTTTTTGTTTTTGTTTTATTTAAAAAGTTGTGGACATCTGTGCTTCTTTAGTCTCTAAATTTTCTTAACTTTTAAAACTAAAGAAAATTATCAGAGAAACATGCCCATCTTATTTACATATATATCCTTTTACAAGTTAAAAATACAAATTTCATTAGCATATTTAGCAAGGAATGCTACATTGAAGTGCAATGCAACTATGACAGAAAAAACTTTTTTCAAAAATTTCTGCTTTTTTTTTTTTTTTTTTTTTTTAAATAGGTGAAGCATTTGTGTAATCATCACCCAACATCAAAACTCATTAAGACCTTAAATGAAGCACAGGACCAACATACCACTGAGTGTTTTAGCATCACGTTCCCTTTGCGTAGCCTTCGAACGTTCTGGTTCGGGCAGCAGAGGAACAGCTGCTGTCGGAACGCGTCACATTTGGTTCCTAGAGCCGTTCCCGTCTCTGGGGTCCGTCAGTGGGAGTCGTCTCTCAAAGCCGAGCGCACCCTGACCTCCAGTTGGTCCGCAGAGGGCCGAGCGTCCGGGTTCAAGGCCAGCATGTCCAAAAGCAGGGCACACATGGCTGGGCCGGGCGGGGGCGGCAGCGGCGGCGCCCTCTTAAACTTCATAGGGATGCACAGCTGGAGGTCTGCGTTCTCTGACAGAGCCTCGCCCAGGGGCATCAGCCACCGGCCCTTACACACGTAGGCACCTGGATGACGGCACATTCAGGAAAGTCAGCTTGGATGCTGGAGTGGATGCACTTGGATGCACTAGCAGTGGCTAACACACACACACATACATACATTCATAGATGTATATATATTTTTGTTGTGTTTTCTTGCAAAATGACAATGAAGGAATTCTGACAAATACAAGGTATGTCTTCTTAAATGACAAACTGCTGCATCTTCAGTGCACAAGGGAACGTTTATTCAAAGCTGGAAGATTTCAAAATCATCACTGCTCCCCTCCTCCCCCCCCCAAAAAAAAAGATATTAAATCTCAACTCTGCTGTTTCCTGTTTCCCCCCTTCATTTCTTGTAAGTAGTAACTTTTAAAAAGTCAGAGTAACATAGAAAAAAACTGCAGTGCAACAAGAAAAGGCTTTTTGATTTTTTGGAACTGCAATATTTTCGTGTTCAAACAGAGCAGAGAAGCATTTACCAAAGAGCTGAAAGGTGTTTCATTATTTATAGCACCAACAAAAGAAATGTTTCTGGCAGCAGGAAGGCAGCTCTTTGGTCAATATCCAATCATATTTGATCTTGTACTTACAAAAATCAATTGGATTCATTTCAGTTATGTCAATATGACTCAATCATAGTTTAGTGTGATCACATGTGACTTCACGCAGCAGGTGTCTGAGATCTGGGTCACTTGTTTGGGAAAAGGCCAGCAGTGGAAATCAACTGAACATTTTCCCATTATAACCACAGAGCTCAGCACCGTCAGGTTGAAGACATGGAGAAGTTTAATGCAGAGAACGATAAACCTTGCTTTGTTTTTCCTTTCAAGATTTGTTTTTATAATTATTATATTTTTTTGTTGCTTTTTTTCCCAATGGAACAAGAAAATAGCTGCTTTTCCATTTACAGATCATTTCTTTACGAATTTGACTCATTTTTGCACCAGGACAAGCGGATGTTACCGCCAGCGGAAAAGACGAAGAAGTTCGACAACAGGAAGCGGTCGGAGGATGAACGGTGCGATGCGTTTAACGATTTATCGCGTGACCAAACTTATTCACGTGTGACTGCAGTTACGTTTCGGATACCGCTTGTTCCGAAATTTTGTTTTGTCAACATCGGCGAAATCTCGACAAAGTTTCAAGCACTTTTGCATTGGAAGCATAGCTGGACAAAACCCATACAACAGAACTTCACGGGGTGTGAATATTATTGTTAATCTGCTAGAAGAACATGAGCAAACTTTTTCCCCCAAACAAACTTGTTGCTCGTAGCAGTAGATAAGATAAAACTAATAACTTGAATTGCTCGTTTGTCATGGAGTTTGTCTGGACAACGTTGATGAAAATCTGTGGACTAATGAAGATTAAGACGAGCGCTACTTGCATCGCCAAAACTTACCCCGTTTGCAAATGAAGGTACATTATCCATGAGGGTAATTAAGAAGGCATCAACTGGTGCTTAATCACAGGGTCAGCACTCCTGAGCTGTACAGTTGTTCCAGTCTTTCAACTGGTTTTTAATCACCAAAAATGAATCAGACGCCAGACGTGAAGTGTTCTGGTTCTCTGTGTGAAGTTACGGTTATTTAATTAACAAAAACCTGAGGTTGTTTGAAACTTAAACCGGTTCCCCCCACTATTGTGTCGTCAAATAAATTGTGCATTTACAGAAAATTAGGATGCTACGTTAATGGACCCTTTTACATGACCAGTAAATGAGTCCTTAAAAAAAAAAAAGAAACAAAGGCCATAGAAATGGCCTCACTTTCTGCACTTAAGAGCCTGTATTAGTGTTTCTAGTGAGGCTAAAAATACTACTTTGTCTTTGGACCTTTGTGCTGTTTATGGATTGAAGAGGAAAACTGTTTGATTGCCTTATTTTGAATCTAACTTTAAGCTTCAAATTAAAACAGTAAATACTGGAAGTATTTTTTGTGTGTTTTTAGGTATTATTGTTTTCAACCAGGTCCTCTACACATCCTCTAATTCTCACAGGATGGTAGCCTTCAGTTATAAGACGCCGATTTCAGTCACAATTTAAAAAAAAATAAAATAAACTACCTTCATACTGCGTGTCAAGCCAGATTTTAAACGATTTTAAAGCATCTCTTTAATGAAAAGGATTGCACTCGTTTTAATTTATCGTTCAATTGATTTATTGCTTTCAGTGACAGGAATCAGGGCTGCCAATAATAAACTGATTTAAGATTTACTATGACCAAAGAATGTCAAAATGTCTGATCCAGATCCCATATTTTCTCCAAGCATACAAAATAAAAAACAACAAAAAAGCAGTTTCATCGCCTCTATGCTGCTTCTCTGCATCGCCTCGCTGACAGTTTGGCTGCAGGGGTCAAATACGCTTCGCCGTTTCAAAGCGTCTATTGAAGCATCGGTGACTCAATAGGTCTGCAGGCACTAAACTCCGGCGTAATGGTTTTTTGGGAAATAAAATGAGACGTTTGTATTACGGCCATTTCGTTACAGCGTGACAGCAGCGAGCTGAGGCAGAGCCGAGCCGAGCGCGGCGCGGCGTTGAGACGCGGGGCACCGCGGCCGCGCTGGGTTCTGACAGCGCGACGGGACCGAGGGAGGCGGCTTGAAAACCTCAGCGGCACACAGAAGATGTACGGAGGAGATTTCACTCGTGATGAACCTGTCTGAGATTTGAGGAGAGGCTGAGGAAAGCCATGAAAAGTTTTGTTTGTGAAAATATAACATCCATAAAACTGACAGCAAATGCGACTTCATGACAGTTTTATGATAGCAATGCCATGAAAGCAGCACGTTGTTTTAAAGAGCAGGAACTTTTCATTTTGACAAATAAATAAACCAGGAGTGAGCAAAAAAAAATAAAATCAATCAATCAATAACTGACTTGTTCTTCAGTTTCTCAGAACATAATTTAAAGAATCTTGTAGCCTGGCGCCTCTGGTGTTTTTGAAACCAAGTCGACGCTGATCTGGCCATCGTTTAGCAGCAACCTGAATGTTCACACGCACAAACTGCAGACTAGGAAAATAAATGATACCTTTTGTTTTCTAAACTCAGTCACTTAAAGGAAAATGCCTGGAAAAACACAAACATGGTCAAAGTTGTTGGCATAAGGTGTGTAAAAAGCTTCTGCACTAAAGAGTGTAGAAATATTCAGCCTTTAGTGTGAGAACATTCGTTCAGGTGTGAAGAAATGCCATGGAAAGAAATGACTATTTCGCTATTAGCGCCCCAGCTAGCTGTACTTTGTGGACCCGCTTTGGTCAGCGGGACATCATGGCTCTCCAGCTCCCCCTGCAGGTGTCCGTTGGGTTTTAAATCTGTCATTCGGCTGATTCTAATGAAAAGTGCTTGGAAAACACAGCACGGCCCCTTACATGCAGTCTGTAGGATGAACGGCTGGAGCAGGAGCTGTCGGCTTGTGTTATAAACTCCGGCCGCTATAATCCATATCAACAGGTAGACAGTGGAAATCATCATCATTCATCTCTTTGCCATTTAGATGGGACTGCACCTTTCCACGGATGATGAATGCATGATGTATAGCATCTGACATTTTTAATATGCGGCAGTTTTGTCTAATCAACCCTGATTTGGGGTTGGCGTGCTGCGTCACCGAGCCCAGACACTCACCCAGCTGCTCCTGCGTCGTCCCCTCCTCCACGAAGGTGATCCTCTCCAGGACGGCCCAGAACATCACACCCAGGGAGAAGATGTCCGCCTGCGCCGTGTAGCTCAGCCCGCCCCACACCTCGGGGGCCATGTAGAAGTCGGAGCCGCACGTGGACGAGAAGTGCTGCCGGCACCGCTCGCCGTTCGCCACGCCGCCGCTCATCTTGCTCAGGCCGAAATCCGCCACCTTGATGAGATGTGATGCAGACGTTGGTTGCGTGAGAAACCAGATACAGTAAGGTTTAAAGGGGCACTATAACGTATTTTCCAGGCAACGTGTGTTATAAAAATGCCACTATCAATTAACGACATGGTTAAAAATGCTATACATGTATTTCTATAAAATATGACTTAAAAGAAATTTTACTTCCTGATTTAGAGCCTAAAAATTGGGTCTCTGTCTCTTTAAGAATCTCCTGCTCTTTCTGAAGCTCCACCTTCAGGAAGTTATCACAATATGGCTGCTTTATTAACCCTTAATGTTTTTTTTGTTGTTTTTTTTTTTAACCAGCATTGCACTGAGAAGTGTCTGTCATAATGAGCTCAGCAGATGCTCAGTTCCACCAGGTGTTTACTAATTTCAGCTGGCTAGTCTGAAGGAGCGGAGCGGGGGAGTCATAACAGAGGGCTGCTGCAGTTTCAGAAGCTTAGAAACTGCAGCTAAGAGGAGGAGCTGCACCTGAAAGGTGGAACTAGGTTCACCCAAATGTTTTGCACAGCTTAATGGTTGCCATGGGAGATTAAAGGACTCTTTTAACATGCACGAAAAGAATCAAAGCAAATAAATGAACTTTATAACATGATGTAAAGCTCAAATGAGTCAATTTTAGATACTGTCCCTTTAAAACTGGGATTTGTGTGTGACTGAAGGAGAGCGGTACATGTGGTGATGCCCAGAGGGGGCAAGATCAATACCAACAATCAAAACTTAAACGACAAGTCACAGCAAACCACCTATGAAGCCTGCTGGTAATCGCTGATCAATATTTCAGACTAACCACGCACCTCCCCCACCCCAGTACTCTGGGTTCAATCAATTCAGTTCAGCAAATCACTGAGCCAAAGAAACGCGCAGAAGTCGTCATTTAAGACTCTTATTTCTTTCTGCTTCTCCGAGTCGAGACTTTTCAAAAGTTGCTTGGAGTAAATGTCTAACGTCGAGCGTTCTGTCGGGCTGCCGCAGATTCTCCCCTCGTAACAAACTAATGCAACAAGTTATTTGCTCTTCTGTCTAAATCTAATTATTCAGCCGTTAAAGTAATGATTATAAACTTGAGGGTGACGGATTTCTCAAATGCTGCGTCAGTTATTTGGTTTTGTTTTTCTCTGGTTGAGTTGGAGTTCACCACTTTGCTCTTCAAGAGTCTGGCTTTTATTTGTTTACTTACAGGCAGGAAATGTAGAAACGCAAAGGACCGGAGAGAAAATGAGACGAGTCTACGTGATCAAATGAAGTATTTAGGAGGGATTGAAAACAATCTTAATTTTGAAACATAAAAAAAAAAAAATCACTAACTGCAACTCCAGGTGATATTATGCGATAGAAAATGATGCATCTGAAATTGGATTCTGCCTCCATGAGCAACTTTGGTCTCTGCTAAAGAAAAGCATCCCCACAGCATGCTGCTGCCACCTCCATGCAGTAGTTTGGACGGTGTGTTCAGGGTGAAATGCGGTGTTGGGTTTTCTACCACGCTGACTTGAATGTAGAAGGAAAAACAAAAGTTCTTCCACAAAAGTTAAAATTTGTGTTCGTAACGTGATACAAAAAAAAAAGAAGAAGTAAAGGGCTTGAACTTTTTTCACTTTTGCAAGGTGGTGGTTAAATGTGAATAACAGTTTTACAGATATGATTTCAACCTTTTTTTGTTTTGTTTAACTTTACATCATCATTCCTCCTGGACAGTCGATGCATCGATTCTCCAGGAGTTCGCTCGTCCGTTTTTCTTACTGAACGCCAAACGCACCGACGTTTCAGCTCAAATGCTTCATTACTCTGAATGGGTTTTATTGAACATCTCTGGCTTGGAGGACTGATGATGGACCCTCGCCTCGGGGAAACACTGAAGGACATTTTTCACTGGCCCTGATGGTTTACAGATCAAGCGATTAGTGGAGGAGTGGCAGGATAATCATAATCAAGACTGTTAATTGTGACACTTACCCGGAGTGCTAAACCCGACACAAGAGCACAGAGTGGCCTTTCCAAGACGGATGTCTGAGACGATGGTTTGCTCAAGACAGAGTGTTTCTGTAGCTGATTAATTAAGGAGTTTAAAAAAATAATAAAAAATCCTTCTGAGCGTTAGGCTCAGTATTTTTTTCAGTACTTCTTATTCATTTCAAGCAATTGGACCAATTGTGTATCATTACCTATAGAACCTTTTCACATTTTAATGCTTGAATTTGAGAAGCAGCTCAGAGGCCTGGGGGGGGGACTGCTGAAAGACCCCCCAGCGTTCCCGTTTTCCAGTTTGCCTCTAATCCATCACATCGGTCTGAACAATCCCCACGGTAACACCTCACATCAAAACATATTGACATACTAACATGGACCAGTCAAAGTCCCGACTCCAAACTGGAGAATTTGCAGCAACGTTAAAATAACTTGAGTGAAACGTCATGTTTGAACAGTGTTGCAATTCCTAAAACCTACTAGATGTTGAGACAACTAAGTCTGTATTTAATGTATAATAACTGAATTAATTGCATGATAAAATGAGCTCCATAATTTCCAATTAGCATGAGGACTATTAGCATTGTCTGAAGAGCAAATTTGCTTACGAATGCTGTCCAGTCAACAGGCAATAAATTTGCACTCGACCCATGATTGACACCAAAAAGCTAGCTATTTTTTATTTAATTTAGTTTTTTTTTTTTTTTGCTAACTGACATTTTTGCTAGCAAAAAAGCTAGTTTTAAGGCTTTAAAGCTAGCAGTTAAAATACAGTTAACAGCTAGCTATAAAGCTAAAAAGTCCTGCCTGGATCAAATTGAAGACCATTCATTAATGTATTTAAGGTCAAACTATTTGATTTTTATTGATTTAAGACATTTTAAGGCGTTAAATTTAGATGGATGAATTCAAGACTTTAAGGACGTCTTAACACTTTGGTTCTATTTATTATTATTTTCGGTGAGTCACATGTATTTAAGGCCCACTTTCATTTTATACACATTAAATTAAGACTTTTTAAGGATGGGCGGACATCCTGGTTTTATTTATTGTTTTATTTACTTATCTTGGATATTTAACATATCTTCCAGTTCAGGTGTTAAGTGTTCCTTACAAAATTAAAGTTTAATGATCTCTGGGAGTTCAAACTGCTATTGTTCTACCATTCTCACGATTACTAGAAAATTGTCTCAAACTCCTTCAGTCAGAGGCTTCTTCAAAGTTATGATCACAATGGACCCCGAATTGATGACCTTACCTTGATAATGGGGCCTTTGGGCGTCACGCAGACCAGGACGTTGTCCGGCTTCAGGTCTCGGTGGGTGATGCCCAAGGCGTGCAGGAAGGCCACGGCGCTGCAGAGCTGCAGCACCACGCTGTGGTTGCGGTCGGCGTCCGGGGGTCTAGAGAGCAGGTACTGGTTCAGATCTCCTCCATCACAGTACTCCATGACCAGCCACAGGGCCAGGCAGCGCAGAGATCCAGCCTGCTCCGCTTCCTCCTCCTCCTCATCCTCCTCTTCCAACTCCCTCTGGGCTGATCTCTTCATGGCTCGGCTTGGAGGTCGCTGCGGGGTCAAGGAGTCAGAACCAGTCGATTTCCTCCCCTCCTCATATTTGGTTCTGCCTAGCACCGTGTTAGTCTTGTCCTGGAGTCTGGCAGCAGAGTTCGTCCTCCTCGGGGTGTTCGACAAGCTCTTGCCTCTTCGACCTCTCTGCGGATTCGCCACGCTCCCCTTCAGCACGGTCTCCACAAGTCGCAGGGGGAGTTTTCCAGGTTTAAGGGGCTTCAGGCTCCTGGATCCGGTCTGAAGGAGGCAGCTGTGCAGAGCGATGACGTTGACGTGGTTCTTGGCGGTGGCTCTCATAGCCCACAGCTCTTGCAGGTAGAGCTCAATGCATTCCGGGTTGCTGCAGGGCAGCCGTTTAATAGCCACCCTGTGACCCGTCTTGGCCATGTGGCCCTCGAACACAACACCATAGCTGCCCCTGCCCACCTCCCTGTCCAAGGTGTACAACTCCTCCATGTCTCAGTCAGCAGCCTGACAGCAGGAAGAAACAGAACAACTCATGTTAGGTTGACAAGGAACCACAGAATCACGGTTTGGTTTGTTTATTTCACATTAACTAGCTGTGAAAACACCTGAAACGACAATAAAGTGTCCGCCAAACATCTAAAATAACCTCAAACTGCGACTTTACGCCAAGCTGAAAACAAAAACAAAACTTTTTAAACTGTTTCAAAGTTAGCAGGAAAGAAACTGAAAGTACAAACAGTGATTTAAACACTCAATTTCAACTTCCTGACGTCTTTGACGCGGCGCTGTCAAAACGGGAAGCGTTTCTACCTTTTTTTTTATTATTTCCGACTTACCCACACGGCCTAGAAACTCCAAAAACGAAGCCGATAGAAGTTAAAGTGCGAGCCGAGCAACATTAATCCGCAGTAGTTCGGGTTTAATCCTCAATAGTCACCCGAAACGAAGCTGGAAAAACACAAACTGAAGAAACAAACAAGAAAAACTTCCGAGTTCCCATTCAGAACGTCCCGCCTTGCTTCAACGTCTGCTGTGATTGGCTGCTTCACTCAGGTCGTGGGTTCTGATTGGCTTTCGTTCGAATTCTCCAAGCCACATATATACAGCGATCCCATTGGTCCACAGGCTGCTTCCGTCTGTAAACACATGAAGATGCAACACAATAGAAGACTTTGTAGTCTCAGATCTATCTATTAGTACAGTACAAAAACATATCCAAAACACATTACGTAGTTATGATAAGTAGAATGAATACGGTTAAATGTCACGCAGTTTTCAAGCACAAAGAACCGTTTACCTTTCAATGTCGACTTCCGGCACGTCCTCAAATAAACTCAACCGTTTCCGGAGAGACTGCTGCGGTTCGACACATTAATATTTCATTATACTCGAGTTTCATTACAGAAATAAATGACAACAAAAATTAAACATTTTAACAATATTCTATTTCTTTTTTTCCTCGGTTTGTCAGTTTGATGTCTAGAGCCTCAATAGAAGATCTAGATTCTGAAATCAAAGCGTTTCGTTGCCTTTGGTGTCCCTTAGACCATCAGTGCAGCTCTCTGCTGACATTGCAATACATAACACAACCTTAAGTCAACTAAATGTGTGTTTTTTTTTTTAAGTAGAATGTTGTTACCTGAATCCACTGGCTTTGAAAATCCAACAGAACCGCAATTTATGACTTTGCTGCATTGGGAGACAGATGTTTGGGAGATGAAAGTCTAGCATACCAGAAAACTTTTGATTGTGAATCATTTTCGTGTCTTTTCTTTTTCTGCTTGATGAAGAGGGTGCCTGCAAAACCTAAGGAGCTGCTGCACCTGCATGTCTGATTGGCAGGGGGTGAATGGCCTATGAGAGCAGTAGAACAATGGAAGAAATTATTAAATGGTAAATCAGCCTTCAAGTGTGCCAGAGATATTTGTTGTTTCCAGTCGACTCAGCTGTGGCCAAAAGTTTGAAGAATCTACAAAGAAAATGGAAACTTCTAGGTAGATCGTGAGAAGCTAAGTCTGGGGAGCACAAAGCAGAACAAGAACCAGAACACAAATGGACAGATCTGGGTCAAAGTGAAAGAAATCGGCTGAAGGAGATGCCATTTGTAACTCCCCCCGAAAAAAAAAGAAAAGAAATATAGTTTCAATGAAATGAAACAAAGATGTCAGACTGAAGAAAACATTGGGGATGAAGTTGTTTCTCACCACTTTGACTTTGGGTCCAGATGAGAATTTATGGCAGGAACTGAAATAAAAATTGGCCCAGACAAGAGACTCCATCCTGCAGAGCGGGCCCCTCAACGAGAGTGTCGGGACCTGATTGATGAAGGATGTCGGTTTTCATCTGCGACGTCCAGGCATCAAAGACCTGGGCCAGTCGGGGGCAGACAAAGTACGGCCACAGCAGCCCCACATCACAGCTCTGAATGGTAAGTTCTGGAGTGTTTCCTATTTAGCTTTAATTATTATGAAACACTTGCTTTAATTTTGAATTTAGCTGCAAAGGACTCATTTGGTAATATTCAACATTTTTTTCATTGAACTTTCTTCTGGTGTTGAAAAGCACCTCTTCTTTAAGTCACATCTTTAGAGCTTGTGCTTTTCCTACCATTGAAAGGATTGCCACAAGTCTTCCTATTTGTTGATTATATCCCTCAAAATACCACTAAAACACATTTAAGTTGATGATTGGAACATGATAAAAACGCAGAAAGAAAATTCAAGGGCTGTGGATACTTTTTCATGGCGTGATGCCATTTCTTTGACATACAAAAAAAAGGGGGAAAAAACCTGAGGAGATTAGAGTATATCTCACTAACACAGCGAGGAGGATAAAACTCTCTCTGACTTAGTTCTGTTTGGAGTTTTTTTTTTTCTTTTTTGGTCACAAAACAAAACACACTCACACACACATACACATTATGTAGCTGCTGTTTGGGGTACTGACTGTTATTTGGTGGAGGAACAACAACAAGGGCGATGACAGCTACCAGCACGTAGCGTAGCGCCGAGCGCGGCAGGCCTTACAGGAAGCGTCGTGATTCACCGAGCCGAGGGAGGCGGCTTTGATGAGTGTGCTGATGGGACCCGCGGCTTTTATCAGCACTGCCGGTTAGGAATACTCTCCATTACTTGAGGATGATGGAATCAGTCATAACTTCACATGCATTTTATCTCAAAGCAGTCGCCCTTTATTCTATCATCATATCTCACTCGCTTTGAAAGCATGCTTTATTTATTTATTTATTTTGGTGGCAGACATACGGTAAAGGATCAGAGAGCTACTGAGCAGAGGAAGGAGAGTCCAAATTTGATTGAACTAACTGAAAAGAGATTTCACAGGTGCTGGGGGAAGCTGTGGACGAGCTTAATGAGAATTATAGTTGTAATCACTTCTGTTTTCAGACTAATGGCGCTTTCTGTGGGGGCTTTGCATGCTAATCAAGTAGCGCGCCAATAGGAAGGGGCAAGAGTAATTATTTTTCGTGATTGAGGTCAGAACCCTTGCGTTTAATCCCCAGGTCTATCCCGGGCTTCCCGGCCCGCGAACTGCAAACAGCAGTAAATATTTTCACAGAGCAGCGTGGAAGCACTCACTTCCACTGCAGACACTCTTAACAGCAGCCGCTCTTTTCCTCAGAAACACACATTTCCATTAGAAAGACGAGCTTCCTATACTCCTATTAAGTTTGGGCCCTTGAATTTTCCTTATTTTTTTAGGGTGGATATAAAACATAAACTTCCAGTTATTGGTCAATTATTATTGGCTTTTGTGCATTTCCTCTAATCCACACAAGGTCAGAAGTCATAAGTACATGTGTTGGTCAACATCAACAGCATCTCCACCCACACTCCTGTCCATATTCACGTCCACTCCCAACAGAGACACACCCAACTTGGCTAAAACCGAGCCAGACATCAACTAGATAATCTGAACCTTGACAACGTAGAAGAGACTTATTTTATGGTCCAGGAGAATAGGACTCTCACTGGGAACTCGATCAACATAGCTTCATGCTTGTGCCGCAACAAACAGGACGCACCGACTGCAGCTGTGTTTCCATAACAGATGACAATTTAATAAGAAACGCAATTAAAATCACACTCGAATAAGTTTGTTCCCTCAGTCAGTCATTAAAAAGCTTGCCGCCCCCGACGATCCTCCAACTACTTCCTGTTGTCGTCTTCTTTGTGGTTTGCACCAGTGGCACGAGTGATTTTAGTATGAAAGCTGTGAAAACAAAACATTGGAGTAGAAAAAAAATGAAAATGACATGACAAGAGTTTGTAATCCTAACTGATTTACAGGAAAAGTTCAATCTATCAGACAGTGAGGAGAAAAAATGATTTTATTACACAGAGCGTCCAAATGTCCAGTTTCAAATGTTTCATACGTGCCAGCGGAAAGGTGGAATTGAAAGGCGGGTTATGGAACAGGCTCCATATACACAGACATGATGCGCTGCAGTGTGTCTTGCTGAACGCTGGCACTCTGAAATAAAAGTTCCCTCAAAGTGCCGACTGGTTGACGCTGCAGTTTTCCCCAACCGAGGAGTAATTCTTCTTTTCTGTGAAATTGGCTTCTTTGGATGGAAATGTGGCCCTCCTTTCCTTGGAAGAAAAAAAACACATTCATTTTCTGTCCCGTTGTTAATAACAATCGGCTTCATCTTGACAGATGAAAGCCCGGGCGGTCCATAAACCACACTATGGATCGCTCGCCGAGTTTCACATCAGTGGGTTTGATTGTGCGGCGGGGTTGTAATGCACATCAGCCGGATGAGAAAGGAGAGGGGAACTCGGGCCTTTCAGATCCGGCTGTCTGTTAGGAGCTGCAGGAATAGTCAGCCGACCGCTTTTAACCCACTGCTCCATCAACACCGTGAAAAAACCCCCCAAAAAACCAGAGGAAACAGAGATTAAGATCTCTGGTTCACTTTGCTCTTCATTTCCATAAAGTCATTAATTTCATTGGGAGGATTTATTTTTCAGTTTCTTCGTCTCTTGTAGGAACATTTAAGTTCTGATTGAGCCATATAGTCCTATAGGTGAGGATGTGTCATTAGAAAACAATTCATTACAGGGAACTCTCTCGGGGCAGATGAAACAGAAGTTTTGTGTGTGTGTGTGTGTGTGTGTGTGTGTGTGTGTGTGTGTGTGTGTGTTTGTTTTTTTAAATCTCTATTCTTTCTTAGAAGTGAAAGCTCAAATTTCCCCATTGTTTTTATTTTGTTTTAGTAAAAGAGCGTGTTGCAACGCGTCATTTCGTGTTTGAAAAGAGAGAATTTGAAAAAAGGGCTCGACATTTTGACTTCCCCTTTTGCGCGTGGAGGAGATAAATTGTGGCGTTTTATTCCTAGAAATGGATAAATGCTTGTTGTTTCCCGTGGCTTTAACGAGCCGCTGCGGCTGCTTCTTCTTACACATTTCTATTGGGGGCTATTTATGCTTCTGATCCTCTCATGTTGTTATTAAATGACAAAAAAGTCATTTTCCTTGCCGCCGGAAGGGGCTGAGCTCGTCTCCACGATGCAAACGATTCACAACGCACTCAGTTTGCTTGCGAAAAAACATTCAAAGCCCTGTCGGCTACTTCACATCTCGTCAAACGTTACAAACAAAAGTTGATGAATCAACACAAATGAAATAAAGTCTCGTGTAGCAGTCAAATAATCCACCTGTATGATTTAAAGGGGCAGCATCGTGTGAAACCAACTTGTTGGGAGTTTTATGTGACGATATTCCCTCATCACAAATTTACCTGGATTGTTGCCTTGATTCGTTCATGCTTGTTTGAGTCATTTCTAATCTCCCGTGGTAAACATTCACATGTGCAAAATGCCTGTGTGGACCTAGCGTCACCTTCCACCTCACAGAGCAGCCCTCCTCCTCGACTCCCCCCACTCGGCTCCTTCAGACTAGCCAGCAGTAATTAGCAAACACCTGGTGGAACTGTGAATCTGCTCAGCTCATTATAGGAGCGACTCGTCA